TAATTATCCATGTGGAGTGACAAGTGTATTGACACACTTTTTTATCACAAACTAAGCCACTAAACGTTCAATGTTACTTGGGAATTGAAAAACAATACAAAAAAAATTCAAATGCAAATTAAGTATCTTCATCTTATCTAGATGAAAAAATAAATTATTATCTAATTGGTATCTAAGATTTAAGTTATAGAAATCTACATAAATATCTGGATAAATCTTGTGTAATGCACTTGTATGTTTTTCAATAATCGTTTACTCATTTAGTAATTTTACATTAAATATTATAAAGTTACCACAATACTATCTACAAGCGTACAAAATAATAACATTTGCGTACTGTTTTCTCGTTATAATTTTATTCTATCCTCACATTCTGTTACCACAATTTATTAGTTTACAATATTTTATGTTTAATAAGGCGATTACGAATTAACAATAGCACTATAGCAGTAAAGTACCCGCCCACAGACTGACGTTCGGTCGTATATCAATACAAGATATAAAATATATAACACCGTGTACCCGACACCCGTATCGTCTATTGATAAACAATTTGGAAAATACTAATTCTCAACTGAACGTTCACCTTATACTTATACCTTAGTTGTATATTATTTCTGTTTTTATATAATATAATATTATATCTTACTATTTATGTGTTATTAATTTATTATACATGAGTCCTCCTTGTTTGCCTTGCTTTATCAATCACTAAACTATGAATCCAATAAAATGTCAACCATTAATAAAAAATTAGCTATTGTAAGATAAAAATCTAGATGAAAATGTTTTATCTACATAATTATCCAGATAAAAATTGAATATTCTATCTTCATATTAATCTAGATATTAATTTAGCTAGTAATATAATATTTACCTAGATGTTATTTTTGCCATCTGAACTCAACACACTGATTTCACAATCATGATAACCACTTTCTTACAGTTTTATCCTATGCAAATTAATCTATTCAAATTCAGATTGAAATTTATAAATAAATTAACAAAATATTTTCAAATACTTGGATTTAATTTAGTAGCAAACTATTTTTATACAAGTTTCTTGTTATTCATATAAGAACATACATTTGTTGATGTAAATGTATAATTTTTAAAAAGTTTTTTCTTTAAACGTTAATGAATCTAAATCAAAATTTAAACGAGTATCTAGCTACTGAATTATTTAAATGTGCATATTAAGAATAAGAAAATTGTTTTTTTTTTCATAAAATATAAAAATAAAATACAAGCTTATACAATATTTGATTTATAGAACCTACCTACCGTAACTATATTCTAACAAATTGTACAAATTATAAAATTGTAATAAATGAATACAATTAAATAATTAATTACCATAAATTGTATGGAATCATTGTCCCCAATTGTTCTTAAGTACACATACGAGCTGCAAAAAAATCAAAATTCGGATAAATTCATTATTGACATATTACATTATATTATTAACAAATTGTTTTTATTGATACAATGTGCCATAAGGTTTACAAATAATTTGAATTGATAACATATTATTATGTGTGCTTTTTCTCAATCAATATTTAGAATATTTTATTTTAAATTTTGGTTTGGAGATTGGCAGCTGTGTCGAAACAAGTTTGTTTTCATTAAACCTTCACATTTTCAAATAATATACTAATATCGCATAAGCCACTGCCCGCACAAATAAAACAGTTGTCGAAAGTACATTTTGTATTATATGCCGATATTACTGCATTACCATTTACCACTGTCTACAACTGCAGGAACAACATTTAAAACCGACAGAAAACTTGCCACAAGCATAGTTCATCCGGAACATTACTTTCAAAACAGAGACTTTCATCAAATGGTTATAAATATATATTATATACGCTTATATATTATATATACTACAATGTACTGCATTAAATGTTGTGAGCACGTTCCACTCGAATAATAAATCGATTATCATATTATTGTGTCGATTTAAAACTTTGGCTATCTTATGATATTTTTATATTATAAAGAATGATAATATAATTTAAACGTTTTTATTAATGAGCTAAGATGAAATATTATGATCCAATATCATAAGTCTCAAAACGTCTCATCGATATTATATTAGTATATATTGTCTAGTGGACAGTGTGATGCGGTGACGTGCTTTCAAAACAATTACTCATAAGGCCTTCGAGTAAATAATCGTCCAAAAAAAAAACACTCGCGGAATTCTTATTGCTTTGCCGTCAAAACTAGTTATAATACTAGTCAACAATATAGTTTTCACAACCCCCTTCCGTCGAAACTTATTTTGACTACCTTGTTAAAATTGGAATTAACCTACTGTTTAAACGTCGAAACGAAACACATAGTTATAACTGAACTGTAAGTGTGTTCAAGGTAATTAGTGTTTTGAGAACGTTTATTTCTTGCACATAAGGGTTCATCACTACAGTTAATCAAGTTCCAAGCAATAATATTTCCCTCTGTGCAGCTGCAAAATAAGTATCGACATGGTCAGAACAAGACTTTATGAGGTATATTTGCAAAAAATTATCTAAAAAAAAATCGCTGCTTGTGGAACAATCTCAATGCCACAATAGTTTGCACCACCAAAACAAATAATAATGTTGATTATAAATTCCAAATATTATTACGTTATTTCCATTACTTATAATATGTACTTATTTGATTATTTCTACTATTCTTGAAATTTCCATCATTATATTATTTCATACATAACTTATTCTAGCTAAAAAAAAAATTTGTTTAAAGTTAAAATTAGTTCTGATGTCGAGGGTTCTGGACTCTGGGCAATTCTAGTTTAAACTGACAAGTCAAAATCTTTATGAAAGGGGGATTATTTTTTTTATGAATTTCTGGTAAACCTTAAGAAATAACTGTATTTTATAATATAATATATTATATTAAGTTTTAAGTACGTGAATCAATAAATGGCAGTTTAAATTAAATAACGTTCATGACTTGATTCTTATCAAATATAATATAATTTAGAATGACTGAAAGCTAATATAATATAAATACTACATATTGAGCCTGGCGAATTTATAATATTCGTATGTGCATCATGTATGCGTGGTACAACAATTATTATTATTATTATAACGATTTTAGCTCGCACCGTCTCTGCTCAAAACAACGGCGACGACGGTTATTGCAATATGTTCATATAATATTATAATATGCTAAACGCAAGCCCCGGGAAGCCACAACATGTATAATAATTATAATAATAATACCTATTATTACAGTGTGTATCAAAGTTGCACACACCTTCCCTCCTCCATCTACGTACCAGCACCAGCAGCTGTGCTCCCTGAATTTCAACAAATTTCTGGAAGATTTAATAATAATAAAAATCATATACCGAGAACCGGATCAAAATGAAAATGCCAAAAACTGCACTGTATATAATATTTATCATCGTAATTCACCGCCTCCGGTGACTACACCGCGACTACCCCACAACAGAGTCATGGATATAGAATGCTGTTGCTACTTCTGCAGATTATGACGGGCACAAATATACCAGCGACCGGGTACCTGGTACTACAAGACGACGAGTGCACTGCGCAAAGTTAATTATTCATCCCGTGTACCTACCTACCTAGTATAATACGTAATGCGTAGTTCACTGCAGATAAAGTGCACGGTTAAAGAGAATCCGTATGATGACGATGGGGGTGAGAGCTCACCTAAAATATGTAAGAGCATTAACTACTCGACACGATACAGTAATTATTATTATTATGGCTATAAGGGTTGCTGAAACTCATTCGAGTGTTCCAGAGGAGGGAGGGGGATAAATACTACGTATATATGTTATTATTATTATATAATATTGTATAACATATGCCGTGTAGGGGTTATATAATATTATATTGCCTATCTAAAGGAGGATTTGAGGATAATTTTGTACTGAAATCATGTTATTTTAATATTATATCGTATAACTGTATACCTACATTCCCTGTATAAATCGCAAAGATTTCAATGTCGAAACAGCAAACATTTATTCGATATTGCCCATTATAATACGATAATACATCATAATAAGAATCTACGATTATAATAATTAGTTGATATTATAATATAGCTAGATTTGCAAAGCATGCCACACCGGAATACCGGATTGATGACACTTCAGTACTCTCCGATAATATATGTTTACTTGCTTACACATTTTAACCCCACCTGCATCCTCTCCACTGTAAGTTTCAAACTTTTTTTAAAACACTATCTGTCGTTTTCTCAAAAAGGACAAGGTTGACATATATCACAATATGATATTATACTCAGCTATAGTTATGCATAACATGACTTTTAGTAAATCGGTTTACTTATTTAAATTTAAACGATACATTATTTTTAATCGATTTTTTTTATAACACTATTATGTATGTTATAAATTTAAATATTTAAATAATGTAAATTTCAACAGATTGAGTTCGAAAAATGATATAACTGATCTGGTTTGTGAGTGCCTATGTCAAGACATTTAAAAATGATTATTATTCTTTCTTGTTTACAGTTTACCCAGCACATTTTTAATAAATATGCCCCATTAAATTTTATGAACCTACCTAATAACCTGGTAATACAAAATACTTTTCTCTAATAAAGTACAATTTAAGGATTTCAATACAGATTATTATAATAATAAATAAGGGTACACTTTGATAGCTTGATATTTGAAATTTGAATAGGTACCCATGTATGAAATGTAAAATAAATTGTTTGTACCTTTATTGCTTATACTATTATATTGTGTACCACTGTACCTACCTAACTGTGATTATGACATTATTTGTGCAATTTAAATAGCAATTATTCAGTGTACTTAAGTCGTCAAAAATACTTTTTATTTTTCTTAATGCACACTGTGTGTAATTTATTACTTACAATATATTTAATATTATCTTCATAAAAGCTGTAAATATTTTTGAAAATATTTCTGCAGATTTTGTTTATCATGTATGATATAACTGGACTTTTTACAGGAGGAGGAACGGTGGTGATGATTGGTGCGCCCAACCTTCGAAATCCTGGACCTAACGGGACCTTGACCAATGGCAGTAGAGCGTTTCAATGCCATCCGGAAGGAGAATCCGAGGCTACCATAACACTGACACTCGTTGGCTTGGGCATAGTTGCAAACACCGTGCTTATGGCTCTCATAATATTCAACAAACATCTGCGAAGGTAATAATAATGATTTAATTCAAATTATAGACAAGTAGAAAAATTATCATAATTACGTTTTTCCACTTAAAACAAACATACAGATGCATATTAATTATCTTGAGAGGATATTGGGCTGACAATAAAAAATGTTTTCTCTCCCAAAAACACGAGTGACATAGATAAAACGTATTCATAAAAATCGTATTTTTGTTGTTTTTGAGCAATCTTAGAGTATTCCATATTTCAAAAATTATATAGTATACAATTATTGAGAAATTGACACATCGGTTTTAAATTGTATTATTATTTCACTTTATATTTGACTTAAAAAATAAAAGTTGTAAATTGAATTTTTTCAGGCCAGTTTTAAATGAATCTATATTCCGTACCTTCAAAAATATTATTCTTAAAAATTTTTATTATTTATGATTTTATTCTAAAATAGCACAACAGCATAAAAATAATGTTTTGCATGAATACATTTTGTGTATGATGTGCGAGAGCCAAAGAAAGAAAACAAACAGTGAGCTGAATAATATTCTCTTAAAATATCAAGCAACTATTAAAATTTCACTTATATCACAATATTATGCGTGGCAAAATAGATGGGTATAGTCACAGTTGTAATAGTTTTATTCAGTTTTTACCTTTTATCTTTCACTTCCGCGCCCATGTTGTTATCCACTTATGAATGGTTGATTTTTACAATGTTAAGTGTGTATGTATATGATTGATAGCCAATAAGAAGTAGAAAACTACGATATAGGTGTAGGACAGTGTGGAGGATGTATATCGAAAAACTATTATGATACCTTTTAATTTTGTTATGACATTATATATAACTTATCGTTTCCTACATCTCACTGAGAACGTTTCTGATCGTTATGTCATGCAAGCGTTAAACGCCGAACTTAATAATAATATATGTTGCTTTATGTAGATTAACACACTCACTACAACACATTTTGGATGCCGTCAACATTAGCCTTATCTTTATTATAATAATACCGGCTAGGCGACTAGTCTAAATCACGCAAACGGTCCGAGTATCTGCACGTTACACACGTATATGTCATATTATTATTACTCATGAATTATTGATTAATATAATATTAAAATATACGCATTACACCTTATGATGATGTTAATGGAGAGTGGTACTTGTAACATTCCGCGAGTTGAAAGACGGTCCAAGACGACTTCATTATTGGGCAATAGAGCCAACCGCATATACCGAGACCCTGATTAGACTGGGATATTTTATTATGGGTTTTGTGTTTTATTTTAAGTGGAGTAGATGTTGCAGGTAAATGAGGGTGAGAATATTAAGAAACAGACTTGGAGCTTTGAAAGAATATTGTACTTTGTTGTGTTGTGAAAAGCAAAGATTGGCGTGAAAACTCCGCCAGAGAAGAAAAAAAATATATTAAATATTGATGTACAAATCATTTTGATTCGCCGACATGATGTTAATGGATCTCGGTATATGGTTGATTTATTTTGACATCATGTATTATAAAGCCTTTGATTGGACCAACGTTGTCTGGAATGGTCACAAACGACACACAGTACTCATTTTTACACGGATAAAACATAATAGTATAGTTGTCAATATTAGGTACATATTATAATATACCTACGTAAATACTGCGCTTCTATAACAAATGTTAATACTTAGCTTCAATACATGCGGTTTGTTCAAAATATCTGTACACCTTGGTTAAAACTTAACGGATATAGGATTTGTACATCATGGTTCAGTAAACTAGCAATCATACATACCTGACAATTGTAGGAGTATAATATTGAAATTGTATTCATTATACAATCTCCATATAATACATGTATTATAGATTATCTTGGGACATTATGCATATTTTGCTTAAATTATAATTATTATTTATATAATTTATATTACACATTTGCACATTCAATTTCAGCTGTCTTTTGATTATCGTTTATTATACATTATAATATTATATATATTTATATAGAAGCAAACCTCCATATTCGTTCATAACCAACCACCGACCATTTAAACCGTATAATATGATATAGTTGTGTGCATGTGGTATATTGATATATTGTAATACTTTATGTCAGGCGCGTAGCTAGGATTTTTTTAGGGGAAGGAGGGGGGGGGGGTGTTTTGAATGCACATTTAAACATATTAACATAATATATGGGGAAGCCTTACACACTCTCTCTATGATTATAATCATCAATATTCATATTAATGATATCAAATATTATAAAATATTGCTCAACAGTATGACAACAGTGTTTGTAGAAATTTAAATCAAAATAATAATATAGTGGGTACATAATATATGTTTTGCATAATGACAGCCAAGTGGAGTGGGGGTGTTTTACCGTCAAAAGGTAAAAACATCCCCCTGGCTACGTCAGTGCTATATGAATAGCAGGTAAATCGAATGCTAATACATATTATTGTATAGGATTCCTATACGAGTATATACATATTACTATATTAGTAGGTCCATTAATATTGTGACGACCGTATTGATCTGACCAGCAAACGATATTCGAGCTTAAGAAGAACATAGTAATCAATATTGATGTATTTTTAACTTATAGAGCTTTTATCGATGGTGCGTAACTCTTTTATACAATTCGAATGCTTCAGAAAAGATTATCTCGGATTAAATCATAAAAAAAAAAAAAAAAAATAGTGGCAATTAAAATATAGAGAAATGTTTATAACTGTTAAAATAACTTCCAGATAATAGCATAGTAGGTATAGGTATTTAATGATATGCACAGTAGCGTGTATTACGTCGACAAGATATAGTATTAGACCTATGGACACGTGTCTGTATACACATATATATGGCACACTATGGGTGAATTACTCAGGTACCTATATTATATATTATAATATAATATTTAATAGTGCACAAACGTCTTCACGTTCGAGACGGCGGCGACAAAAAGCTCATTCACGCCGTCAAATGCACTCGACCATATCGACCGCAACGAATAATAAGGAGGAACTTATATTATTATTATGATTATTAATATCATACCGTTGTGGTTGCGGTGCTCACTAATATTATTAAGTTTGCCCGGCCTGAATCTTCGTAGTATAGGTATGTATACAACTGCAGATATATTATTTATATATACAAATACAATACGCGTGTACAGGAACCTTTATTATATATATGCATGTGAATAGTGTATTGGTACCTACACAATCTCCGCAGTGCGATGGTGTCAACACCACAATCGGCTAATATTTCTAACGCTTAATATATGTCATAATAATTATTAACAACCATAGTATAATATTATAATAATAACAATACTGCGGTCGTATACACGTACCTACATTGTATTTTGTTGTATTCAACTATAATTTACTATTATATATAGGTCCCTAGGTTTGAAACATTATATTAAATACCTATCATTTATTGTCGGTTGCTTAAAAGAGTGATGCTGTGGTGGTGGGTGATAGGGGGACGGTGTGCTTTCTCCGCTGAAAATAATTTAAGTGGTTTAAATTGGGATGTAATATAGTATCATTATAATTTTACCCCACTAAAATCAACAAGTGATACTTAAACAGTTAAACATTAAAATTATATATCATCGGACATCTACAGTTATACCTAAGATATGTCTTTTTGTACTTAGATAGGTACAATAAATCAGTTTTTCAGTATATATATATTATAATGAAATCGTTCACGTTTAAGGTTTTTATTCGTATTCAAATATTTTTTTTAAATGAACGTTTTTTTCATGGTCGTATTAATTTCTTTAATTAACGTGTTTATTTCGTCGTCATTCCAATAATTAATAAAAAATTGATTTCTTTATACAAAAATGAGAAATCAGAAAAATCAGAAAATCAGAATAAATTCATTTAACACCTTGAAAGTAGAAATTGGACACACAAGAACACCTTTTAAGTAAATATGTTCTAATAATTTCAAACTTAACTTGAAACAAAAATGGTTGATATTTCAAAATAAACCTTTACCTTTTTCTGTAATTATAAATTCAAGTACCTATATAGCTAATAATGTACAATTCACTTAATAAAAAAAATTTAATTTTAACGGCTTGTAAAACTTTTAAGTTCTCTAAAAATACGTTTGTGTTTACTCTATTTATAAGGAATGAGTAGAGTAACGTTCACGTATCGTTCGCTAAATAAGAACTTGCAAGAAAAAAAAACAATGAACGAGTGTTCATAAAATCGTTCTCTCCAAACACTGAATAAACTATACTCAAATATTATACTGACCTCGTTGTTTTTAAAAAGCATATCTTTCAGTACAAAATCTGGCTGATGACTGTCAATATACTATTTCTCATAGCTTTTACAGTAACACTAAAAAATAACGGGAATATGCCTACAGCATAGCAAGCATTTAAATGGAATTATAAATTAATATATTATCATAGATTTGTAGGTATGAGTGTAATTGCCGCTGATAAATCATATTTAGTGATAACGTGCAATGTCTACAATTAAATTAATACGGTAGTAATCGACACAATATGTTTACATTTTGAACGCCTAAACTATTGTACCCAAATAGCTCATCTATGGTAGGGGTTATGTTCCGCCTCTCACAGACATATTGTATCATCGACAATAGGCAATTGTGTTGTAGGTGTATATCAAGCATGTCAAAAGTTCCTCGACTCTTTTTTTTAGCGGCCCTCAGCCACCAGCATCACTAAAAAATAATAGGGGATACAAAAAAATTATTTTCATTTTCATTATGTTTTGCAACTATAATATACTAGAGAGAGACAAATTTTGGTACAGGTACAATGTACATAATGATAAAACATGTAGTATTATGTTACGTACTTTCCCAGCGATAAACCGTTGTTTAATACAAATTAGGTATAGATAGAGCTGAATAACTTTTTATCGTCGGTACGTTTGCCTCTTCAATTGTTAACATTTTATCTAACTTTTCGACAATCACCGTTCATTCTGTGATGCGTCCGAATCTACTTTGTTTATGTTATTA